CACAGAATATGAAAGGCTTTGCCTCACAGACAAGATGACATAATGCAGATTATAAGTAGTTAAGCAGAGAAAAATAATTTGATACCAGTGTCTCCGGCAGATTGGTATGATAGGGTTAGCGTGTGCAAATAATTACATTTTCCTCCCGAAACAATTACATTATTTGTTCTGGTTGTATTATACACCAATAAAAGCAAACATCATATTAGGATTCATGGCAGTTTTCGCATCGCATTATCAATATGTGGAAATAATTGTCTGCTGAGAGATTAAATTACATTATTGTGTATCTTTTTCATGCCTAATAAATAATGATGGATGGGTTTTATTTTCATCAGCACCTGCAACCATTCTGTGTTAAAAATGAATAAAAGAAAGATACACATATAGGAAAGGTGGATGTTGTTGCCAGTGTTAACGTGTTATCAAGGTGTCTCCTCTGGCATATCTGTACTTTGTTAGGTTTCTTCCTGCTAGGAAAATGGGTGGAACGTTCTAGAATCTAATCAACTGACTGTTGCTGTTTATGTATTTATCAGCTCTTACATATTTATGTGGGTTAAGGTGACCATTATGAGAAAGAAAGGTTAGTTTTAGGAAGAGAATCAGATTTTCTCTTAATACCCCAAGCTCATTTCCTTGTCACTCGTCCTCCGCGTGGGCCAGAACTGCGGGGTCTCACCATGTTGCCACCCTCCAATTTTTTTCTAAAAGCTTTCCAGTAGGGGGCGCTCTGCTGTCAGGACTGGCTCCCTGATGGACTTGGACCTCTCAGCACTCTGTGGCGCCTTCAGATTTCTCAGGTGGAAGTCCAGAGCCCTGGCTGAGGTCTCCGTCACTGTACCCCCTGCTAGTGGGCTACGTACCATCACATTTGCACTTTGTGGAGATAAGACGTTTGATTGGCTACCGGTCTGCTGCAGAGTTCATTTAATCGGCTCTTTTCTTTTTTAACTATTTTTCCAGCCAGACAGAGTGAATACCTTCCCTCCAAATTCCCGTTGCATCCCCGATCCCTCTGCCAGCCCCGATAAAACAAGGTGACGGCGTTATAGTCTCAGTTAATTGGCATCAGAAAGCAACTTCATAACTTAAGTCATGCCTCATGCACAGCCCGGGCTTGCGCCATTGTGAAATTTACATTTTAATGAAATGTTTGAATAAGCACTTGAAATTCACTCTAGCAGATCTGCTGGCTGCGACGTGAACATTTCATGTTTATGTTTTGAACATCAGCGTCAGGAAAATTAACATGCCGTCCGTCCAGATTAAGAGGGCATCAGTGTGAAGGCATGGGGCTCCTTAATCAGGGCTCGCTGCAGGTAAACAGCAGCGGCGAGAATTAAAGTGAGCAAGCCGGCCGGCGGTGCGGAAACAGGAGAGCAAATTCAACTGTTAATCATAAGAACAAGTTTTGTTTCTCAGTATGTATGTATGTATGTTTTCACCCTACAGATAGTGTAATGCTAACATGAATTGCAGAATTATTAAATGTCTTCTAAGAGGCCTAACAACTTATATACATTTTTCTTTTCGCTGGTTAGTCTCCAGACCCCCCACCCAGCCTTTCCAGGGGCCTGTATCACGAAACAGCATTTCTTGTTTAGCTGTATAACTTGTTGGATTTAAGGTAGTCTGGGTTGAATTTTAGTGAATGAAGATAAAGTCCATTTAAACTGCGGTACCTTAAAAGTTATTTGGCTTTGTTATACTGGGCCAAGCACAAGCAGGGTTGGTGAATAATCACCGTTTGTTTTGATAGTATTTTCCACTGTATCAAAGTTGACGTCTCATTCTGTATGGATTTTTTTTTTTTCCATGAAAAATGTCGTATGTCATCGAGATGGTCAAGCTCGGAGAGCAGTTTTGCACATTTCTTAGCTAGCACTCAACAAATGTTCGATACATCTCGTTAAAGTGCTTCTTATAACAAATATAGTGCTTGGTCCTGCCCAGAAACCATGATGGCCATCAGTGCAATTTCATCATCAATGATCTTGAGGATAAAATGACGTACAATATTGTAAAATATCAGTGAAAATTGTCGTCGTTTTCTCCATCGCCACCCTCTTTTGGGTCCTTTGCCCCTCCTTCACTCCTCCAGGGTGACGTGAGATTCTTTTTTATTTGATAACCGTGTCAATTAGACCGAGCATCCCCCCCACCACCACCGTTACAGTATACAGGCTTTCTAATTGACTCTACTGGTAACAGAAATGATAGGGTAGGTGAACTTGGCCTAATTAGTCAACTCAAATCAGCACTGCGTGCCGCAAACAGCTGAGGAGCGGAGGGCACAGCACGGGGCCTGGTACCCCCCCAGCCCCCCACCCCCCACCCTACATCCGCAGGCCACATCTGAGAGGCCGCCTTCTCTCCTGCCTCAGTTTTTCTGTCCGCGTAACAAAGCACGACGATTCCCCATAACCGCAACCTTTGGTAAGGGAGATTAAAACAAGCGGCGCGGCACTCACTGTTTACTCAGCTGTAGTAATTATGCTCGGCGCGGCTCGGCTCGGCTCGGCCCGGCTCGTTGCGGCTCGGCCCCTCGGAATGCTAACGAAGGCGATAAGCGCCTTTCTAATCGGGGCGCCGCCACTTTCCCCCTTAACTGCACGCGCGCTCTTTGAAACGTCGGCACGCTACCTCATAAGACGCGTATTAATTTCTCTAATGTTTGAATTGTGGCAGATTAAAATACAATGAGAAAAAAAACATGTGAGCGGAGCCACGTTGGGGTGGGGGGAGGGTGCGTCTTTGAACAGCAGGTGGTAAATTGAAACAAAACAAGGGCTGATTAGTGAAGCGGCTGGCAACTCATGATGCAAACAGAGCGCACTACAAAAAGCAAACACAAGAGCCCTGGAATAAAGTGGTCATCATCTAATTAACAGAACACGTTTTAATTACCGGGTAAACCAAGCGCTGCAGTGTGTCAATTTAACTGATGTGCTAAGTGCCAGTTTACAATATCAGAAACAGACAAATAATTGGAGTCTAATTACAGGCAGGTCTATCACACACCAGCGCCCGCAGCCCATCTTAATAAACAAGTTTCCACATCAAACCGTGAATAGCGAACGCAGAGGGGCTGCTAATTGCCGCGCGGCAATATTGGGAATTTGCCAGCTTTGGCTATTAAAGTGAAGCTCTTGTGTGGATTGCTACCCGCTCGGCTCCCTTTTAATTAGAGGGAGACGGGCGGCGGGAGCTGCGTCCCGGCGCCGCAATTCAATATATGTAAATATGCTAACGGGCTAATCTTATTCGGGGGATCCTGTGTGATGGGCGCCCTGCTAATGCTAACAGGTTATCATTTCCGAGCTGAAGGAGGCGCCACGCCATCCTGAGAATAATAATCAAGGTGACTGCAATCCCGGGGAATGTATGATGGAATTAGAAGTTTCCGCCTGGTTTGGATATTTGCACTGTAATATCGCCGGCATTTATTCTCAGCTCAGTGGAAATGACACCCGCCCCCCGTGTATAACGTCGCCGTTAACCGCAGCCCGGGTGTATCTGGGCTCCGTGGATATTTCCCGCTTGGCCGCGATCCGAAGGGGCTCATGTTATCCTGGCAGACATGGCGTAGCGGACAGCCAACAAAAACAGTCAGAATTGGACCTTTTTCATCATGAAGATCTTCTTCTGAGAGTGTTGCTGAAATTACACCTGTCAGGCGAAGTCCACCAGTTCCCAGCTCCTTTCCTCTGGGGCTGCTACAAGACATCGTTTCTTTTTTTCTTTTTTTAACCAAAATTCATAGAGGTCAAGCTGGTCTGACCTGTTCTTGTATTCCCAGGAATGTGACTACAGACACTTTGTTGTTAGTGGAATAAGTTACGGAGAATGGGGGGGGGGCGGGATAGAGATTAAGGTTGGGTGTGGAAGGGGTGAATGGAGACCAGCTTTAGATCTTAGCAAAGTTCTTTTATAAAGCAGGATTGCTCTGGTTGATTTGGTTAAAATGATCAAAATAATGAGAACCTAAATGAACGTGAAAATATATTTTTTGAGAATTTGTTTCACTTTTTAATACGCTTAAATCATAGGCCTTTTTTGGGATTTAATGATACTTGTGTCAAATTGTTTGTTAGGAAGCCTTCTGCCAGGCCGTCTTCGGTAAATCATACCTCGGTGCTGTTTTATGCGGCTGAAGCTGGAGCGAAACCATCAAATTTCAGGACCCCCGTGGCCTGCAAAGACAGCGGGCTGCGATTTTATATAGTTTCCATTAAATCTTGTCTTTTTGTGGCTTTAATTAATAATATACTATTTGACATTTATATATAGGTGCAATAAGCTAAGCGTGAAACAATTTATGTCACCTAAAGCTTTTTAACGAATCGATGCGACTATTTGTAATTGCTTGTTTCACAAGATTAAAAGTGCTCAGACCTGATCTCTGTCTTCTGTTTTGTGGCCAACATGACCTGTGCTTCTGTCATAAAAAGCAAGTCCTGGTCATCAGCATTAATTTCCATCAAGAAATCCATATCGCTAATATTTCTGGAATTTTAATGCACCTACAATTTATAGCCGATCAAATGCAGTTACCTAAATTGCTGTTGGAAAAAGACAGTTTAACTGTCTCATTTTAATTATGAGATAATTTAATACCCAAGCAGAGGGCCGACTGGGATGCATCTGTGGCGAGCAGGAATGCCGCCATGTGACAGGATAAACAGTTTGCACCATTTTTGTCGGGATTATGAAGGTGATTGAAAATGTTAAGGCTCAGAGGAGACGAGTACAGACACTCTTATTGATCAGGGGGTCTTTCTCTACACTGTAAAACATCTCCACTTCCAGACCAGTGGCCTTGTGGACGTTTCTCACCAAAGACAGAAGCTAAGCCATCTTTGACACTCGTAGCCTCCTTTTCTGTTAGTGTTTTCTTCCAGCTACACTTGTCTCTTGTGATCGTCTTTGTTTATTTTTAAGAAACGGCCAAACGTCGCAGATCACATGGGGACGAATAACGGCAGCAGGAAACCAAGTGAACAACCAGCATTTTATTGCATTTCAGAGTCAGTTAAAGACCGACTGTACAACATACGCGTCTGCAGAAACAGACATGGGATCATGGAGGACGTACAAACAGACCGACAGAGGCGATAAGCGGCCGCTTTCACGCCTCAAACAGAAAGCTACCTCGCCACAGGAACACAGAAGCACTGCGCAAACTCCTTGACCCTTCCCCCAGAAGTGGCACCTTGTACTAAAGGGTTAAACAAGGATGTGATGGGCGATGGATCCGAGGCCAATCAGCATGGCTTCTGGAGGCTCTCTTGGGAATGTGACAGCAGCCGCCATAAACACAAACTAAAAGAGGCCTTTTCTTTTTTCTTTAAACCAAGTCTAATATATTCTACAGCGAAGGTATATTAAGGAACCACTTCTCATAATCACTTCACCGGTGACCCGTGTGCTCACGTGGGTACCTCTACCTGCTGTGCTTGGCTTTAGCGACCATTAAAAAAGATAAACAGAATTATATTTCCCTTTGTTTAACTAAATATTTTTTGCTCACACCCCTAACGGCGATACTGGCTGGTTCGGTGAAACGCCTCTCATATGAGTTGTTTGCTTTGGGAAAAAATAATCTGAATCAAAACGAGGGACATTACGGATATTCTTTACATCTTGGCACTGCATATATTTTTTTTTGTCCTATGGGTTTTATACAAAACGCCGATACGTCCCCAGAATATACACCCTGGGTGCACTGGTGCATCCGTGGTGGGGACACTCCCCTGGGGGGGTGCTGCCATGGCGACCGGCCGGACACCCCACTATGTACAGCTGAGCAGCCAGCAGCGGAAGCGGCCCGGAGAGTCGAAAGCAGGGAAGTATCAAAAAACAGTCTTAACACAAAAGAGAAAGGAAATCTGTACAAAATGTTTAGGTCAACAGTAAGAGAAAAGTCCTTTTTCTCCCCTATTTTACAGTTTAAAATCCAAAATGTAGGATAATCGCACTCTTACCCACCCCCATGAACCGCTGACTGCTTGTCTGAATGTCATAAAAGCCAGGATTAATCAGTAAAATACATTTTGCGGAACAGTTTGCTAATCTGATACATACAGCAGTTTTTTTCCATAACTATTTTAATAGTACATACAAAACCATTGAGAGAAAAAAAACAAACGTAACAACACAGATGTACTTTTACCATCGGAAGGAAAGACCCATTAAAAAAAAAAACCGAGACGCACAGAGGTTATACGGACATGTATGTACAGCCTAGTTCTGCTCACCCAGCAGACACATGGAGAGGACAGGGCTTCATGGATGCTGAAGATGTCTTCATGAACAAAGCCTGAGGTTTGCACTGGTCTGGCCAACAGGACGCGAGACCCTCCAGATAAACAAGCTCTAATTTATTTATTTTTTTTTTTGCATTTTTCATATATTTTTTTTGTTGCTAGTTTTAGACTAAACATGCAAAGACACACGACTAAGTGCAACTGAGTGAAATGTTTTTTTATTCCTTTTTTTCTTTAGAAATTGAATCATTCCCTATAGGTCTGAACTGAGGTATGCGTACTAAGAGTTTTCTCATGCTGTTAGTTTTAGTAATGTCGAGCTACACACATGCTGCCAATGTCCTAATCTACCAGCCTCATCCCCCTTCAGAGAGCAAGCTGACCGGCGCCGGGCCGGAGTGAGCCGGACCCATTCTCACCATCACTGCCCGGCCAGGAGACGCTGCCTCTATACCCAGCGAGCCCCTTCTGATTCATTAATAGATGCGGTGAAACCTAAAGAACTGCCGTAAAGTACCTGGTACCCAGCTTATTAGTTGACAGGAGTGTTTTTTTTTAATATAAAAAGTAATAAAGTTGACAGACGCTAAACAAGGTTAACAAAGAATTCAGTCCAGCTACGTGGACTGGAGTAGAGGATGGGCGTGACATACAATCTTTCCTTGAAGGTCACAAACTTAGAAGCAGGAAACATTTCATCATTTCTGTGGTCCAGTTGAAGCATATAATGGTTCACATTGTTCTCCATAGAACTCCCATGTCTGCTTGTGAATAAGAGTGACAGCATGCATCAGAACCGTCACGCCCCATGTCGTACAGCTACCTTTTGAAGATGGAACGGTCCCTTCTGATTGGCCCAAAGATGACTGCCCAATTTGGTCGTGTGTCCAGCTAAACCCCGCCCCCTCCCCCCCCCACCACAAACGGCTTTTCTGTTTCGGTCACCACGAGTCACACCTTTGGCTTTATAAAAGTTTAAAAGAGTGAGGCCTGCTCTCTAATTCACCCGCTATAGGCTAGACACCATTCTGTTTATTCTCTATTATTTCTTTGGTAGTCACTAGTCAAGGTACTTCAGGTACGTATCCTGGCAACAGGATCGTCTGAGACCTTGACAACCCAAAGGTTAATAAAGAGCAAAGTGTTTGGTTGTGGGCATAACTTTGACATATTTAATTTAATAGGAGTTTGGGTCGGACAGAGAGGCCCAGGTTCCGGCGGCAGAGGTGGGCAGCTTAAGGAATGCGTGTGCAAAGCTCCCTGTATGCTTAAAAGGGTCACACCGTGGGCATCGCACTGATGGTGGCCAGACGCCAACTAGCAGGACGGCTTTGTCCAGTGACGGCCCTAAGATCTCCATCGGATGGCCGAGCTGCGGGTCTCCCTGGAGATGCCGCAGCCGCGCTCAAGACGCAGGGCATCTGCAGGTACGAATACGCCCAGCGGCTCTGCGTACCTGACATCCTCCAGGGGCTTCAAAGGAGCCGGAACAAAGGGGAGAGGGAGGCGCGCCCCGGTGTGAGCTCACCGCGGGCCCCGTAAGGCGCCCCATCTCTGCCGCCCGCCGAACATTCCCGCTGAGAGGAGACACTTCATAGATGCATAGATGGAGCCTTCATTGTGAATAGTGCATTTCTGCTGGGGGGCTGGGGGGGTGCCGAAATGCTGCTGGGGAGGTGGTGTGACGAGTGAGACAGGTGTCTCCAAATCACGGGCAACACAGGACAGAGAAACACTACCTGGTATTCGACATTCAGCTCTCGTGTACAAAGAAATCAGGAAAAACATTCATCATCTGACCACAGATATCCTGTCCACAGTTTGAGTTTTGGTCAGTTTGAAAAAAATAATAAAGTAGTTGTTTGAATATGGAAACAAACAAAGAAAATAAAGGTCACATACAGATTATACAGCCCCCCCCCCCACCCCCACCAAAACATCCTTCTAACCTCAATGGAAACAAACTGATGCAAACTGCAGGCAGTGACAGTGACAGTGACCTGAATCCACGCGGACATGCAAACCGACAAGGTCCCTCGGACGAGGTCCCAGTCCAGCCCAGTTCGGGAACCACACACCACGTCAAGTCCCAGGTACCAAACGCATCCGTCCGACGTGTCTTCAGTAAAAATTAATTCTCTCTCTTCCTTAAACAAAAAGTAGAAATAAAAAAAAAATCCCAAATGGGATATTCTGTCGTTTTTTAATGTATTTAATGGCACTAAAAGTCAATTGAAACATTTTATAGCCATCAACAGGAGATCCAGCCCGGTTCCGAGTCTGTGGAACGACGCCGCGTGTGTCTTGATCGGGCCTGCCTCTCCGTGGGGCATGGCAAGGGGGTGGAGCCTACTGCATGTCATCGTGGGCCTGCTCGTCCTCGTAATCTCTGCTCGGGTCAAATTCCGGGCTGTGATTGGCCGTCGTCACCAGGGACAGGGGCCCCTCGTGCTCCTCGAGGTCCAGGGGCTCCTCCTTGACGTTGATGTGATGCCTGGGGGTTTAAGGGGGGGGTTAAGTTGGGGTCAGCGAGCTGTGCAACATCCGGCCCATGTAAGCAAGGACACTCAGGAGGAAGATGGTGATGGTGGGCCATGCAAGGCCCCCCCAGCCCCTCCCCACCACCCTCAGTGGCCGACAGGGGGGTATTCACTTAAAATTGATGAATGAGTCAGTTTAATGACACGAGTGGAGGACGAGCTCGGGGGGGGGCATTGCCCATCAGGTTCCCACCGGCGTTGGCAGCAGTGCCGCACTGTGTGCCCCCCCCCCCTCCTTACCATGTGGCGCCCTGGCCCCCCTCCTTGCCACTCCCCAGAGAACGAGCCCCGACGAAGCTCCGTCATTAATCACCGTCAGGTGGGTGTGGCAGCCAGACGCCAAGCTGCACTCTGAGGAGTGTCAAGGAGCCCCCCCCCCCAAAGGCCTCTGAAAGCATGCAGCAATGGTGGCGGAAAGATGAGGGGGCAGCCGGCTCGGTGACGAGGGCCAGAGGATGTGCAGAATGACATGCCTGTCAGGTGAGAGGGGGGACTCTGATAGGGGGGGGGGGGGGTGCTAAATTCTTCATTAGACGGACAGCAAAGGTATAAAGTGGGGGGGGGGTGGAGTTCTGGTGTTAATAAGCCATACAAACAGGTTGCTGTGGCTGGCCTCTCTTCAATTTAACAAGCGAGCACATCAGCCTTTCCTGTCCTTTTCCACTTCCTTTTCTATTTTTACAATCAAATTAGGGGGTATATTTGTACGGATGGGAGCGTCCTGAGAGGCATTTCATGGAAAATAATTGTTTACGTATGAATTTTTAATGTGTTGGCTGTCCGCGGTGATGGAGTGTAACCTACATTTCAGCAGCGGCCGCTAATTAGACAACATGGTTTAGTGAATTAAAAAGAAAGAAAGAGAAAGAGAGAGAGAAAGAAAGAAAGAGAGAAAACGCGGGAAAGCGCCATGTTCGGCCCGCCTCAGATCTAAGCCGCGCCGGCGACCACGCTGCCTGCGGTTCCCTCCGACGCCACACTCTCATTACAGTGCGTTTTTCTGCTGCTAATCTGGCTGATGTTCAGCTGCGAGTGATGCATTGTGGGCCGCCTTTAAAAGGTGGCGCCTGGGCTTCCTGCACGCCCTGCAGGCTGGTCTTGGCATTCAGCGCCAGCACCCAAACGGGGCAAGCGTAACGTTCAACTGCTACCCCGGGGAAAGGCATCGTGCTTCTGGTGGGCCCCATCTAATGGCCCCATCTAATGGCGCCCTGGGCTATACTCTCTGGGGGCCTTCAAAGTAGATAAGACCTTGCTATATCACAGGTGGACAACAGGGGGCACAATGGCTAAGGACATGGTCACTTCACGGTTTTCAAACCTGGTAACCACATGCAGCACATATAGCTGGAATGATTCAGCCAGGCTGTATAAAGAACACTGTTTATGTACATAAGGATCCATCCATGCAAACTCGTAGGTGGGATTCAAACCCCCAGCCTGGGAGGCGTGAGGCCACAGTGTGCCCCCCTGAGCAAGCATGCTGCCCAGTCCAGAATGAAAAGAAAAAAAAAAATTAGACTTCGCCCACTTCAGCACCACTTCTCTCCCCACTCCTATGGCAACACTTGTCCTTCAGTCCGGGACATGTGCCAAAACCATGCCCCTGAAGTTGCCCCAGGCCAGTGAGCTCCCTGCCGTCCTGTGCCTCGGTGACACCCTGATCCACCCCCCCCAAGTCCATCCCTGTCAGAGTATTTCACAGAGGAACCCACAAATGCTGAGTGGATGCCCCACTGGGCTGTGGCATCTGGAGACCAAGCTGTCGGGGGGGAGGCGTGTAACTACAGCCTTCAAGCAAATTAGCCCCCCATTGAACAAGTGCACAGTGGTTTCCAGTCTGACCACAACATAGAAACTGGGAGCGTTTGCTGGACTAATTATGCCCTTCATTAGTATCTGCGTCATCCTCAGCTCTCGGGACACAGCTGGCCACCTCGGGCTTACGGCAGAATGTGTGGGAATTAGCGCTGAATGGCATACGGCGTTTACGGGCGTCTTCACCATCTCTCAGCTGCAGTGTTTGACACAGCCACAGTCGCAGAGCTCAGAAACCGGATGGAAGTTTCTCTCTGTTGCCAGCCCCCACCCCAGTACTGGGTAAGTGTCAGATTGGTGTATTTTCAGCCCCATTTCATCACAAAAAGATTAACGCAGGATTTTTCTGCGAGCTGCCTGCTCTCCTCCCTACTGTGATGTTGGTTTAATGTCAGGGGTTAGAGTTAGAGTTAGGATTAGGATTAGGGTTAGGGTTAGGATTAGGGTTAGAGTTAGAGTTAGGATTACGAGACACTCACATAGCTGGCAGAGGGGAGCGGCCCGGACTGCTGTCGCTGCCGTTGCTGTTGCCGTGGTCCATAGCCCCGTTCAGCTCCTCTCGGATGGCATTGGCCAGGGAGTTTAGAGTGGGACTTCCGATCGAAGCAGTAGTGTACAGAGGTATGTTATTTTCCGCCAGGGATGCCTATAAAAGGGGAGAGAGAGGAGTGTCAGAGGACATGTAACTACACCAGAATCAACTGTCAAGGACAACCAGCCACACCATGTTTCAGCCTCCGAGGACGTCCGGCCCCACCGCGTTTCCGGGGACGCCCGGCCCCACCGCGTTTCCGGGGACGCCCGGCCACACCGCGTTTCCGGGGACGCCCGGCCACACCGCGTTTCCGGGGACGCCCGGCCACACCGCGTTTCCGGGGACGCCCGGCCACACCGTGTTTCTGAGCACACCATGTTTCCGAGGAGAGGCGGCTACACCTCGTTTTGGCCCTGAGGACACCTGGACAAACTGCATTTTGGCCCCGAGGATACCCAGCCACAGGGTGTTTTGGCATTCGAGGGCACCCAGCCACACCTGAGCACACCGTTTCCGAGGAGAGGCAGTTACACTGCGTTTCTGAGGACACCTGCCCACACGTTTCGGAGAACACCCGGCCATGCCGCGTTTCGGCCCCGAGGACACCCGGCCATGCCGCGTTTCGGCCCCGAGGACACCCGGCCATGCCGCGTTTCGGCCCCGAGGACACCCTCAGTACGCTGCCTCAGTAAACATGCAGGTGGCTGACTGCTGATCATACCTGGAAGGCCGCAGAGAGGGCAGGGCCGTATGCCAGGCTTGTCTGGATGTTCTTCACCAGGGAGGGGCTCCTGCACATGCCACCAAACACATGTTACTCAGGTCACGGCTCAGTGCTGCAAATGCATGATTTAATGTCGTTTCACAAAGCTACGCATCATATTCACACATATGTCTAAATGTAATTATAAACAACAGATCACTATACATCTCAAACAGTAAGAAGAGATGTATAAATGCAATACAAGATGACAAACTGATTCAGCACATGAAACTGCCCATTATACAGGATCCCAGGACGGAGGGACACTAGCCTGCTTTAAATCAGACAGATAAAGGCACGTATGACTCAAGCAGCACATCAATATGCCATAAAGCAGCAGTGACACAGATTGGTGCCACAGTGACACTTCTGTGACACAGAGCGGACAGAGCAATGGGGGGGGGGTGACGTGGCTGGGGGCGCAGCGGGGCGGGGCAGGGCATGATGAGGGAGCAGCATGCAGGGAGGGAGGGCGGGCCTTACTGTGGGGGCGGCTGGTGGTCGCCGGCGCCTTTCCGGGGACGGCCGCGCTGCACGTGCCGGCCGTGCCTAAACTCCTCGTCATCGACAGTCCAAAAGGACCCAAACTCATCCTCCACCCTCACAAAGCACTTATGGAGTGAGAGGTTGGTGCGGACGGCACCCTGGGCGGGGGGCGGGGCGGGGGGGGTTTGGGGGCGGCGGCCAGGTGCAGGTGCAAGAGATGGAAGGAAGCAGGATGCGGGACGGACAGGAAGGAGGAGATGGGGGATAAAAATGCAACAGAGCGTGAGCCGAATGCGCGTTACCAAATGCGCATCACTGGCAGCGGGGCGCCAGGAGGTGGCGATGTAGAGCGAAGCAAGCATGGAGGCAGGGGTGTCAGGGCACAAAGGCGATGAAATGGAGCAGCTTGTCCTCCTCCTCCTCCCATCATGCACCACTCTGTTGAGCGATGGCACACCTACCCACTTATCTTCTGCGGCCGTCTCTTTTGGAACTCTATCTCGTCCACGGTCCACACAGCCCCCTTAACGTTCTCTACTCGCACAAAACACTTGTGAAGACTAAGATTATGCCGGACCGCGTTCTGCAGCGGGGGCGAGAGGAAACAAGGTGTATGTCAGAGCACGGGGGTGGGGGTCCGACATTGAAGGCGGCGATCCGGCGACAGGCGTGATGGTGGGGGGCAGCCATTTCCGGGCACCGGGGCCGTGGCACCAAGACTCATATTTTGGAAAATGAGCCGAATGCCCTCAGAGAGCGGAAGAATGGCTCTCCGGAGCATGCCGATCTGCCGGCCGAGGGCCGGAATGGGCCACCCCCCACCCCCGGGAAACGGAATTCCAGATATCCATACTGGGCAGTAAAATAAACAGATTTTTATATCCTCACACATAGAGGTGAACATTAATTTTACGCATGTGAGTATTACGCATGTGAGTATTACGCATGTGAAGAGTAATAAGGAGACACTGCACATTAACACCATACGCAATAAATGCCACTTTTACACTCTTCTGGATAAAACTGAAGGTAAGAGCATGAGAGGCAGGTGATGGACGCCCTGGACGAAGGACAGGCTCCCCGCCATGGCTGGTCTGTGCAGGTCGTGCTTTTACGGCAGCAAAAATGGAAAGGAAATTTCAGAAAGATTAAACAACAAAAAACTCCCCAGCTGCTTGAGGAAGTGGCCACTTGCTGCCATCCCCAACGGGCCCCCATGCAGGTCACTGCCCCCCCCCGCCAATCACTGACGGCTTCTGTTTACGACAATGTGCCCCCATGGAAGAGCTGTCAGCCGCCGCTAGACCACGTTCCCGCCCCCCCCACCCCGTATCACCCCTCCCTCATGAGAAGGGCAGAACAGCCCACAGTGTGTTGAGCCCAGAGATCTGCCTGTACACTAATACGAGCCCCCCCTTTGAGAAAGCGTCCAAAACCTGCCGCCTTTGTTAAAAGTGGCACATATTGCAATTTCTGAGAGAAAATCAAGGTGATCGCATAGATATATTTTCATGCAGATTATTTGAATGTATATTCTACAAGAGAAGATGCCCACCCAGCCGTCCCTGGGGAGACGCGGCGAGCAGGGAGACAGCGGCGGCTGACAAACCTTCCATGTGGCGGCGTTGCGCCTGAAATAAGCGAACATTCGCGTGAACCAGTTGTAGATTTCATTTAGTGTTAGCTGCTTCTCGGGAGATTCGAGGATGGCCTGAAAAAGGACAGAAGGAATCAGTCACCTGCAAACGGAAATGTTCGTAATCTAATCACGCTCTCTGCCAGCCATCTCGCCTGCAAAACGCAGTGTCTTTTTGACAAAAAAAAAATCTTACGTTTTCTTTTTTCGGCCGTTAATGGAGAAAAGCAAAAACATTTCTCAGGCAGATTATAGGACAGTAATTATCCGGAGCCCAGATTAATTCCGCAGATCAGAGATTAGAGCGGCTCGTGATAATTGACTGGGCATCTTTAAACAGGTTCATTTCTACTGTTGTGTGAAATGAATTTCATAATAATCACAGCTATTGTAATTCTCTGTGAAAAAAAAATGAAAAAGAGAGCTGTTTAAACGGGAGTCTTAAAATCCCGCTTACATTTTCCTGCCTGTGTCAATGGTTAATCTACGGCTATTTATCTGAGATGTGCACAGAATTTAAAAAGTGAAAAAAACTGAGGTGAAAACCAAATTTGGTGCCTTTGCCCCAAAAGTGACACAGCTCTGCTCTGCTGTCATCATAATGTGGCTGCATTCTTACCTGCCGTATTAGCGATGCGTACGTGAAGGGGGGCCTCACTTCAGCGTTCATGTAAAATTCTTTGTTCTGGACGATGTCTGTCCGTGGGCATCAGGGAAAATGGCAATTAGTCATAGCAGAGCATGAATGACACCAAGATCCGAAATCACACAGACAGCGACACGGTGGCGGCCATTAGCGCCGAATGATGTTAGCATTGTTAGCACGCTAGCATTGTTAGCGTCTCCCCTTAGAACTTCACCTGGCGAGATGGGCATGTTGTACTTCTCCGAGTAGCGCCTGCGCATGGGGCCCACGCTGTGGAGGCTGTTGGGGGTGATGACGGAGGGGCCCTGTGACAGCGGCGTCAGCGGGGCCGTGGGCGTGGTTGGGGTCTGAGGTAAGCTCTGGGGGGACGTCTCCGAAGCCGTCTTGGAGAGGGTGGCGCTGGACACCAGGTTCAGCTGCCCCAAAAAGGACGAGACGACACAGCGGATGGAACTCAAAGCTACTCTCTGATGTCATGCGATGCGACGCAGAGCGATGGCCCCCTTGTCAGGGCCCCGCCCCGCCATTACAGGCTGAGGTCTCTGCTGCCCAACCTTGGCTCCGCCCCCTTTGTTCAGCGTGGTGGGGGACTGGGGGAGGCACCCAAACCGGACATGTGGGGGCAGTTAAACATGCTTGACAAATGACAGTGAGATTCTCACCTACCACTGACCACCCCCCCCACTAGACTGGAGAGGAAGTAGCCAATCTAGGCTAATTACCAGATGAAATTGTATTGTAAGGACTCTAATTAGGAGATGCTTATAAAGGTGATCTAATGATTAAACACTAGATCTCAATGACCCCCATCGTCTGGCTGTGCAAATGGAAGATGTCTCAGGAATATTTAGGTAAAAAAAAAAAAAGCCTTTTTCCCCCTTTCGCGGGGGTGGGGGGATATTAGCAATAATGACTGTAAGGTACAGTAATTAAGCGGCGAGTTCTAACGGCACAGGGGGCGGCGGGTGCCTGGGCCGTCCCAGCCGGTGCCCGTCTCCGTACGGCAGCCGCGCTCCAGTGCCTAAGCTCCGCCTGACCCGAGAGCCGCTATTAATTTGCAGGCGAGCTAATGACAGATATACAGATTCGCGCAAAATTGTTCTAATTGCTAATTTGCCAAAAGGAGGCCAGTGTCCAAATTGGACGTGACTTCAGCCAGTGAAAAGAGGAGACGGGGGGGGGGGGGCAGCGTCTCTGGGACGACACTCGTCTGCAGATTGAGGCCACAAATTAATGGGATGTCAAGGCCGCCGACGGGCCTGATGCCACTGGGCGTCTGATTCCTCCCGCCGATGAAACTGAGGATGGAGCGGCGCAGTTGAGTCCGAGCGGCCAGTGTTTAGCGTCTCGAAATGCCCCCCCACCCCCCTCCTGAACCATTCACCCAATTACCCCAACCCCATTAGTGGTCATTAGTGCAGAGATGCTGCGCTTGATAGACAGGCGTAATAAAGGAAGGCAAGGCTGGCGCCACCTGCAGACAGATCCCAGATGGTGCGGTCCATCCCGCCCTCTACCACGACAGCGGGGGGAAAACTGTCAAATTCCAGAAAATCCCAGGTCGGCAGAAGAGGCGTCGATGCCTTTAGCACTGTTCCAGTACAAAATGAGATGAATTAAACAGCTAAATCAGATACATTTGATGTGTTTCGCTTTGCTTTTTGATATTTATATTTGTGCTGGTTTTCCTTCCCCTTTCATGCGGCCAGTGTTTCGGTGTTGTAACAGGACGGGCACCGAGAGGGCAGGGGGGGGCTCAGACGGGCCCCCCTTTGTTCTGTTAGGAATCGGGGGCACTGCAGTGCATGGACAAAACGAGACTTCAGACAGAAATTAATTAAATGGTAATTGGTGATCTAATTATACTGCCTGCGACTCACCCAGCCGCCAAGCAACAAAAAAATAAACAAACAGAGTCGGCCCTTAATTACGTGGAGCGGAAGGTCAGGTTTGTGACGATGATGTTTGGTGACACAGCCGACACGCAAAACAATTAGGTGTCCTGAACGGTGACAGCTGCCCCCTGTGCATCCTGTCATCAAAAAGCCAAACCGTTTGCAAAGACAAACATTGCAGCCCAGATCAATGTTCTTTTTTCCTCCCTAGTCATTTAATGATTTTTTTGTTTGTGTTTTTTTTTTTTTGTTCAGTGCCTGTACAGAAACAGAACGCAGGACACATGATAATGACCCTTTAGGACACAGAACCGGCTGCCATAATTAAACAGACCAGGGTGACAAGGAAGGAGGGCCAGCCCATCTCCTCCTCTCGGGGCGGTTCCTGCAATCCGACGAGTTGCGAGGTACGTTCTGGGATGGTGGAGGAACGCAAACCCAGCTGGGTGACATGAAGAGCCCAAGATGGTACCTGCCACCAGAACAGTTTTCATATGCAAATGGAGCCGCGGTCAGGCCTTTCGCCACGGATTACTGCGTGTCACTGGCGTGCAGTGGGCTGCTTCAGCCATACAGAGGACCTCACTGCACCTGGTGTAGGTCCTGGCAGATGCAGTGTCCTGAACACAAGGCACACGCACTGCACGGGACAGCGTCACATTATAAACGGCTCTCCTCATGTACCGGGCGACAATGAATAATTACGTAACAGCTGCCCTACCACGACAGCACTGTGCCCAAAACAAAGAACAAATATATTTAGAAAATAAAGTACAAAACTATTTGGTATACTGTGTACGTGCCCAGGTGGACTAAGCCAATACATTTCATTTTCAAAATTATTTATAAAGAATTTCCTCTTATGATTTAATCTGTTACAGATCCCATATTGTGCTTCACTGAAGTCATGTGATATAGATGTCACATGACACTGGTGGTCACTGAAGTCATGCGATATAGATGTCACATTACACTGGTGGTATCCTAGAGGTTTTGCTTCCCAGTAATGCCGCTTGAGTCAGTGGCCAGTAAAATGCATACATTTAATATTTTTTAAGCATGACCTAAGCTTATATGATGTGATGTGTAAATGGACTGGGCCCTATTTTAGCTTTTCATCTTTAAAGATGTCAGTTCGGTCAAACCTCCATGGAGGCCCAGCTCCAGTACCGTGCGGATGGTGTGACGCCGCGGATCCGCTCATAAAGCCAACGTACAGCGATTTCGGGAAGCGTGTGCATTAAGAATATAGGAAAAGGGGGATCAGGGATTGTTTGAGTCTCAGATGTCAGCGAATGAGGTTGTGAGGGAGACAAGCTGGGAGAACATTATCAGAAACCACAACCCCCCCCCCCAGCTCCATCCCGGGTACCCGATGGCAGCCTTACACTGACCAGAGCAGAACAAGGTGATTATGAAACAATGTGTATTATACACACACACAGACGTCACTTCCTCTGAGAGGTACAGTGACGGACTGCAGTGTGCCCTGAGAAACTGGACTGTACCAACTCACCGGCTGGGGGATGGGCTTGGGCTCAGTGGATTTTACATGAAGGTGAGTCATCATGGCCTGCAGTCGTTCTTTGTCTTTCGCTAACTGTGAAAGGCAGGCAGAGAGAGAGAGAGAGAGAGAGCAAGTGAGCGAAAGAAAGACATCGAGGCAGGATCCTCAGTCACATGCCGCTCAAACACAGTTGCCTTTGTACCAAAGGGTATATTCATACACACACACATATTTTTAGTATCTGAAACAAAAAATGTCAGTGAAATTTCTGAAAATCACTTTCAGGCGGAATGCACTGGTGTGTCCATCACAGGCTGATTCCTGTCTCCCGTCTTCTGCTCACGTCAGCCGCACTCACTTTCTGCTCACTTTACATTCCCACACGGCCTATCCCACAATGCACTGCTGGGGACCGGGGCACACCGAGCACGTTCACAAGTGTTATGTCCAGCAGCAAATATTTGGCTAGCGATGGGTACGTTTACCTCATCTTAGCCTGTCATGTAGCTGCAGTCCAGGACACACAAATGCACTTTGTGCCAATAAGCCTTCAACAGTACAGACTTCATACTCAGGGACTGACATCACTGGTACGCAAGTACGCATTCACCTTTAAAAGCGATACGCGTGGCAATCGATTGTTGTAACAGTGTGAATGCCAAGAAATTACCGTATTTTAACCTCTATACTGCAAATATATGAAGTATAAATTAGCATATAAAATGCACGATAATTGCCACACGTATCGCTTTTAAAGGTGAATGCGTACTTGCGTACCAGTGATGTCAATCCCTGGTCATGCTCCTATTACATTAAATATTTTCACAGAAATATAGTCATTTTTCCCATTTGCTATACGTTTTGTTCATGACACTTACTAGATAAGTTAATAAAGTTGGATCACTCTGACAATAATTATTTGTGATGATAATTTTTTGTGCAAGGTGCTGTGACAGCCACATCTGGACTACATCTCCCATCAGCCACCTCAGCATGGTGGAGCTCCTGAGCCACATATGGCTAGAGAGACATTTTCTCTTGTTCCACTTTGAGAAACAGCTTCGTGCCCCAAAGCGACGGCAGGACTGACAACAGCTAATAGAATTCCCTCAATGAACATCCCATAATCTGCCCTGCTGACTGTCACTTCCCAGCTGCCACCGTCAGGTCAAACGTTAGCGCTGTGACCTGCGTGTGGGGGGGGGGATTTCATTTAATCAGAATCTGCGGGAACCCAGGGCCAGCCCAGATGCTGAGGTAGGGCTCCTTCATGGTACCCAGCAGAGGCGGTTCCGCAAAACCCATCCGCTGCAGGAATCCGATCGGAGTGGGAATCCCGTGCCGGGCCAGCGATGGCCTCGATGGCCGGACTGCGCCGCACGCTGGAAGCCATGTTGCAGTGATGTGGTAAAAGGGCCCCCAGGTACAGGGGTAATGTATGAGCCGGCAGTAATCACAAAGCAGGGCATAAATGTATTCCCGCTCCCTTAATCTTGTGCCGTCCGGGGGCCCGGCTCGCTTCCCCTGCTTTTTTGGGTCATTCTCAGGGTGCTGTCACTGTCTAATTCAGTCACGCCTCAGACCGCTTATTTCCCCACCAGCACCGCCTCGCATTCGCAGCAACACACACGCAATTAAGTGCAATTTAGCAGACACCTCCGTGCCTGACTGACACGCGCACAAGCCCACGGATAAATATTCGGGCGAAAAGCGGAATGGCAATGATACTAATAATGAAAGCGGCTGTTGAGTGTGAGTGCAGTGGCCCCGTGAGCGGAGGGTACGGCTCACACGCGGGGGGTACGGCTCACACGCGGGGGGCCTGCTGCTGTGCCACCGGCACACCTGCACAGGCTTGTCCTCGGCCACTCGGTCATTCGGAGACCATCGGGGTGACAGGTCCTTTGACAGTTTTTTTTTTCCCTTTTTTTTTTTTTTTTTTTTTTTAAATCGAGAACACCCACCGCTGTGGCTGCCTGAGTATTTCAAAAAGTGTTTTATTATTAGTGCCAAACAGTTAAAAGTCATAAATGACTTTAAAACCTAGTAAAATTCAAAATGTAATTATCTTCTCTATGTAGCCCCAGGGTCTTCATATATCTTTGCCTAGCTGTCATGCATACATAACACATTTTTAATGACTGGTTACTCACAAATGTACAAAATAATTTTATTCCCGTGCCCCCCTCCCCATGTCTCTGACCCTACAGTTCATAGCCAAGAGACGAGGAGGGGGAGGGAGACAAAAGGCGGGAGCGGAACGGGGGACAAACAGTTTTTTTGAAGAGAGAGAGAGAGAGTGAGCGAGAGAGGGAGTGAGAGAGAGAGCGAGAGAGCGCGAGCGGACAGCATCATACCTGCAGCTCCAACTGCTGGACCACTTGCATCTGCACCCGGCACTGGGCCGTACTCCTGTCGTCCAGCGCGTGCTCATGGTTCAGGTGCCTGAAACGAACACCCGTGTCACTGTGCGCCCCCTGGCGATGCATGGCGGGATTACAGCACTCACCCCCAATCAGACACACCCGAGCCCATGGCGACGACGACTGCGGGTGACGGATATTTCAGCCGAAGCCCAACTTTTACAGACAGGATATGGGACTCGCACGTGGGTGATAAAACTGCCCCCCCCCGCAGACTCCCCCCTTATATTTGTGGCCTTTTCAGTTAATTATGTCATCAAGATTAAGGGAACTCAAATGAAAGCAGAAGGAGGCCAGGGGACAACAGGAAGGAGAGAGATGGGATCTGTCAGCGGCGTGAAATATGAATATAATTATGCATGATTATTTTATATGGCGAAGATGTTCCCTTTTCTGCACGTTTATAACTAATCTAAATAAGTAGCTCGCCGGGTGGAGACACGGCCGCCGTGATTTATATAAAATGCTGCAGATAAGGTTCACGAGTGCGGCGCGCCTGATTGGAGGATTTTTATCAGCCCCCCATGAATTACTGTTTGAAAATGCTTGTGCAGGAGCCGTTCATTAATCATTTCATCATAATCCGGCCAGGATGTTTGAACTGATTTCACAAATACCCTTTCATTTCACTACTTCATTATGCTCGCTAATGGATCCAATATATTATATATATCATAAATTATATCACATCTTCGGTGACCATGTAGGTCACTGTCACTGAGCATGCGTGGGCGTTGGGGGGGGGCGGGGCCCGGTGAAAGAAGGCAG